ATCGGTGAAATGGTGACTGATACTAAAGAAACGGCAAATATACACGCTAGCAATGCCTAGAAATTTTTGGGGTATCCATGAAGGCACGCTTTGCATTTGAACCTCGTTCGACTCAGAAGCTATCTCAGCAAACTCAGTCGTTCTACTTCAATCTGGGAAAGGCTTGGGAGCTGAGATTCTCTAATTACATATCCCCAAAGCTTATGAGTGAAATTCGTGGGCTGAGATTCAAAAAGAGCTGGTATCAGATATATACCAGCTCGTTTTGGAGCTCGTATTGTTGTCTTTGACTGGATTTTTGGCTATGAGGGGCGATAGTGATGCGATACTTGAAGGTTTTTTTGGTGCCACCTTTCAGGAACATTTCTTTGAGTTTGAGTGCCTGTAGCTAAGGAATCTCGACAGACCGCAAGATGAACCGAGAATGAACGGCACTTTAGAGCAGCCCCAGCAAAGTGCCGTACCGCAGACTGAATATTACACCATACGCCGAACGAAACTTATTCGCGCGTTCTGGCTCGATAAAGAAACAAACACATACAGATGTGGTGCCCTGAAATTGGTAGCTCGTGGAGTTCGGTCTTGATGCGTTTCCGTGTCTGGACTTTAGTATGGTCCAGTGGAAGGCCAGATCAATGATCGCCCGATTAGCTTCTTCCTCAAACTTGAAACAAATGTGTCACAGATTAGTATCCTGGAGACAATTTGAATAGGGTATTTCTTTTTTTTGGAAGGTTCTGAGTGAGGTGTATTGGTGACCATAAATCATCTCAAGGAACAGGATCCTTATGCTCGCGGAACCCGATCACTAGAAAGCCGTGCACCGTTTGACATCATTAATCTTCGGGGAAAGGAAAATCAACAATTGACTGGCGCGATACGAGAGTTTGGGTAGGGGGGAAATGGCAAGGGTTTACAGCACAACCTAGATCGTTTGTTTGAATGAGCGGCAAGGTCGAGCCCATGCCACGATCTAGCAATCCATAAGAAAGGACATCATATGGAAATGAACACTAGAGTCCAACGCGGAAGTGCTCAATCTCATAAAGAGAGCTAATAGCGAGGGGGATTTGGCACATTCGTGCTAGATGCGCCAGGGCTTGTCGTTGTGGTAGTGGTAGGTGGAAGGCACTGGCTGTACCTACAATCGAACCCAATGATAATCAGTATCTTTTCCTTTCGAAATTACTGTATGCGGGTAACCAGGTGGATCCAACGACTAACCATGGGTTTATGTATGTACAGACTTGGTCTTCTGGACAGGCTGAGCTGCCAGTCCAACCTATCCCAAGAATGCGGGTCAGTTATGGAGCCAGGAACCCCGAGATACTCGAACCTATCCCTGCACCTATGAGATTGGCGGATAATGTTAGAAATAATTATATTAAGATCATCAATGACTTAAATTGCTCCCAGCAGGCATGAACGCTGACTAAAAGAGATGTAGATATCGCAAGCAATGTAAGGAAGCGGCCCATGATGCGATGAACAGGTTTACAGTTCGAGCTTGGAAAGGTGCGAGTCCAAGAGTTTTCGTGCCTCTTAAATACCTAGCGGTCTGCGAATGGATGCTTTCCTCCATCCTTCTGGGCAATGATTCGATTCATACGGGGCGCGAAGGGAGGGTTATGCATTCCATCTCTGAGCGCAGGTCAGTTGACTTCCGCAGAAGAAGTCCTCGCGAGAATGTCGTAAAAATTACTCTACGAGAATGGCTACATTAAGAACCTGGTGTAGACCGGTAAGAACGAACGGGAGGGGACGGCTGGCTCAATTTACCTTGACCTAGACAGAGAGCCTGTGAACCTCCCCCTAGCTAACTCCCCCAATGACCGCCCGACACGGGAAAGAAGAGAATTATAAGGAAAGCACTCGCAAAGGCTCCTTTCTTCGGCAAAGGGGGAGCACGAGAGACTCTGGCCGCGGGAGAACCTGACTCTAGATTGCGCAAAGATGTAAATTGACCAATCCCATGCATTGTTATTTGAAGTATGTACACGCGCCGGCAATCCAACATCGTATCCAAGAATTTCTTGAGAGAATCCGCGCCGAACCGGCGGAACCTGCCACCATGTAGGAACAAAGTCTACCCCTGGGAGCGGCTCATGATCAATATAGTTTCCTAGGGTTGGGGTGGATGGAGTGCCGTCGGCATCCAAAGTTCGAACGAAGGCGTGGATCGGCTTCTCCGCCTGGCCGGACAGAACTGATTCAGATTATTAGCCAACTCCAAGACCAAAAGTCCCGATATAAAACCTACAAACTAATCAAAACCGTCTGCCAAGGAACGTTCTGGTTCGGTATCTTATCCAGTGCCAGGCTCAGTTCGAAATCTGCAGTCCTCTTTGCCCATACGTATATCTTCATCCCCATAAATCCTTTCTCTCTCACCAAAGCAGCAATTTGGTCGAACATTTTGGGATTGTCGTTCCTAATGAAGTGCGTGTCCAACGCTCTTGTTCAATCTTGTCTGTCCTTGTCGGTAGGTTCGTAAAATCAACCGCTGCAGTTTTTACCCCTTCCCCACTTGCACTGATCGCGTCTTTAGACTGATCTGGGAAGGCCTTCGTGAAGTATTGGGCGGCGTCTAGCGTGCGGTCGAACCGTCTCGAAAGTAACGCAGCCGACATCTTGGTGGATGCAGGGAGTCTTACTCCCATTGACGAGAGTATTTCTTCTATATTTGGATCTAACATCTTATCGGTCTACTCTTGTGCTATGGGCGAAGATGGTGGTGGTGGTGGTCGTCGTCGTCGTCGTAGGCGGGAGCTAGCTGTAACGTTTGTGGTGAGGAGAGCTTGTTCCTGGGCATAAGCATTGGACCACAGGCGCTTCGCAACTCGCTGCCAGGCTAGCCTAACGCCCACACCACCCATTAGGAATGCAGAAAATAATGTTCTGAGCTGCTCTGCTGTTGAAGCCACCAAATTGACCGGGTGACATCAAGATAGCGAGAGCGAGCGGCGCCCTGACGCAGAGACCTAGAAATACTATGCTAACGTTACCGGACCGGAGCCCGCCACCGTGCCAGAACCAAGTATCGCTCTAGTGAGGGCAGCTCATGATTCATAGAAATTTCAAGTGTTGGAGTTGAGGGAGTGCAGTAGCAACCGGTCGCCCGAATGAAGGAGCAAATCAACCTAGTTCTCCGCCTAGCCAGAGCAGGAAATTTAGATTATTAGCTGATTCTAAGAACAAACGCCCTCAATAAACAGCCTACGGCCTAATCCTAGAACATCTACCAAGGAACGTCCTGGCTCGGTATCTTATCCAGTGCCAGGCTCAGTTCGCAATCTGCAGTCCTCTTTGCCCATACATATATCTTCATCCCCATAAATCCTTTCTCTCTTACCAAAGCAGCGATTCTGTCAAACACTCTGGGGTTGTCATCCCTGTTAAAGTGCGTCTCCAGCGCTCTTGTCCGATCGTACACCATCATGTACGGCGAGCCGTTGTACTGGACTTTGATCAAAAAGGGATTATCTCCGTGCTCGTTCGGAGGAACTTCCTCTCCCCCGTCTTCCGCAGGTTTTGAGCTTGTCAAATCTTTCGCGCGGCCTCTACCACTCAGGCTGATGATTGTGCTATGCTTGAATCCGAACAGAGAACTGGTGAATGGCATGACGGACCATATCGCGCTCGTCAAGCTATTGCACGTCTTCTTATGGGTGGCCCAGTCTTGCGTTTGACATTCTGCACCGGAGTAGGTAATTAAATGCATGCTATTAGCTCCATGAAGCGCAAGAAAACTCACCTCAGCTGCAGTAGGGCGTTGCTAAAAAGCATCGACGAAAAGCGTGCGGTCGGTGGGCATATTCAAGATAAACCGTAAATTATGACTTACCTTGACACCGAGCACAGCGCGTTTTACTTTGCTTCCCGCACAAAACGCAAGAGAGACCACGTGTTAACCGAGCAATATCGAACTTCTCGATAGGGCCTATTGGAAGGATGAATGAGGTTTTGAGGCTTGCGTTTCGATCCCCGGCGCCGGCGCCGCTTGCCACGCGATCAGAGTTGAGCAGAAGAAGCCGATGAAGGAGATTTAACGATCGGTTGGGGCATCGGAGACCCTTAAGCCGATTGGTAGAAGCATATTTCCAGAACGCATAGTCTCCTTCGGATGGTTTAGCATCAAGTCGGAACTGAAGAAGTAGGACCGGCGTTGTGTCGTCCGCCTTTCGGATTTCAGCAACCTATCGTATAACCCGAGAAGAATAAGAGCGCTCAAGATCAGCCAGACCTTAATAGTTGGACAGAAGAAACCCATTAACCTTGATGAACAGAGCGTGACTCAATTCCGCATTTTCGAACATCGCTTCCTTGGACCCCCCATCAACGTCTTGACCCAAAGCATGAACCAAAGTTCGGAACGTGTAAAACGGATCCAAATTAGGTGGAGTCTCCGTCTTGCCCGTCATTCGCTCTCGCTCTTTCCTTTCGATATCTTCCAACCCGATACTCTCCTTCATGGATTTGCGACCTAAGCCTAGCCTCTCGCCTGTCCATATCGGCAGGCTTGCGAAATCGATCGCCTTGGTCTTGCCTCCTTCTCCACTCGCATTGATATCACCTTCAGAGTGGTCCGGGAATACTTGCGTGAAGCATTGGGCGGCGTCGAGCGCGCGGTCCAACCGTTTGGAAAGTAATGCAGCTGACATCTTGGTGGTTGCAGGAAGTTCTATCCCCATTGACGAGAGTAACGAAAGAGTTCCTTCTCTGCTTGGATCTAACATCTTTTTGGTCTACTGTGGTGGTAGGGGTGGTGGTGGGGCAGGATGACAGCTGGAATGTTTTGTGGTGAGAGAAGCTTTCTGTGCCTGAGTGTATAAGCTTTGTTCTGTGCTTCGTGACTGGCGGACCAGCTGGCCCCGCGCAAGTACACCAACCGTTAGGAATTGAACAAAATAATCGTCCGCTATCGAATCCACCAAAGCCAACTGGGCACATCAAGATAGCAAAGGCGAGTGGCTCTCGAAAAACAAAAAGGAAAAGGTATATTCCCCCGCCGGGAGTCGAACCCGGGCCTACTCGGCGCTAGTCATTGATGGTTAATCAATTGACTTGCTGAAAGCGAGTTATCCTAGCCGTTGGACTACGAAGGACTACGGAAGAAGCTCGGAGTCCTAACATTATAGTCCCTTGATAGCCCAAGCACGGCGGAAACTGGATCCAAGTTCGATATCTGTTCAAGAAACGTAACCTACACAAAAAGACGATAGAGCTATCCAAGAAAAATGAGATACACGAGACAAAATACATTATTACAGAGATGGAAATCACGGGTTCATATCCTGGGCGTAGAGTGGGGAGAAATCCAACGGAAAGCCGTAATCACAGACGGTCACAGACCCGGCAGTAAACTCGGAAAATCGCAACAAACATCCCCCTGCTCTTATAAAATGCTTCTTCCTCCACCATCGGTTTTAAACTGCATCGCTTCCATTGGGCTGAGCCGCATCTGCTTTCTTCCCTCTCAAGCTCAAACTGCCCAACAACCCGCTCAACTTGCCAGTGCTTCCTTCTTCGGCGGTGGTGGCAGCAGGAGCCGTCGAAGCCGTCGCGGTGGCATTGGTAGCTTCAGCAGCCTGAGTGGTCGGTGCGATGTGAGCTGCAGGAGGTGGAGCTGGAACGACGGGCACGGTCGCCGGCAAAGGCGCGTGGAACGAATCCTCCGAAAGACGTTTACCGGGCGGCGTGGTGGTGATTCTGAGTAACGCGGTGTACGCTGGAAGGTGGGGTGATTTAGCCTCAAAACAGTTGTCACGGGAAGAGGAGTAATCACTCACGTTGTCGACAAACCGGGCAGAACCAACCCTTGGCCTTTCTCTTCCTCCTCGGCCTCGCCTGTTCACCAGCAGGTGCAGCACCTGCAGCTTGGTTCTCAGTCCCATTCGCACCAGCATTTTCCGCTCCTGCTGCCGTGGTGGTAGTCGCAGCGGTAGCCTCCACCTCGTGCGTCAACTGCCCACCAGCTCCAAATTCCACCATGTTGACCGCGCATTCCCTGCACGCGACCAAATGCCTGCACGGCAGCAACACCACTTCCCTCGGGCTGCTCAAGCACAACACGCATTCCGTTGCCGGTGTGTCGTTTGGATCCGCCGGTGCTGGGGTGGGGTAGGAATTGGACGCGGAAGAGGACGAAGAGGACGAAGCGAGGCCGTAGATCTCTTGCAAACGGAAGGTGTGCGATCCGATGACGGCTTCGCGCTTGACGACTTTGACGATGTAAGGGCGGTGGGTGGTGGAAGGTTCCTCCGAGGCGGGAGTAGATTCGGATGGTGCGGCCATGCGGAGGATGTGCAGGTAGGTGAGTTGGGCGTTGCGAGAACGAAGGGGCTTATCTGAACACAGATTGGACCGGAAAGTGGTCAGATGGTTCGCTTTCGAGACCAAGCCCAAGCTAAAGCAACGCACCGTGCTCATCCAACGCCTCCAACCTGATCACGACTTTAACTCCAGAGTCCTCTCCAGCATCACCGACGGCCTTCGAAGCACTTGCTTGAGCAGCAGCAGCCGCCACCGGAGGAGTAGGGTGATCCTCATCCTGGTCAGCAGCTTCAGAAGCCGCGGCAGCTCGACGAGCAGCAGCAGCCTGAGCCTCCGCATCAGCATCGACGACTTGCAACGCGGGGCCAGCAGCATCCTGCGCCATGCTCCTCCTGCGGAAGTGGAACGCCGAGAACCGCTTACGATGATGATGCTGATTCTGAGCAGCCGCGGCGGCCGGCGTCAATCCCTCGGCGTTCGGAGCAGCGGCACTGGTCGCACCCTTGGCATCTGCATCGGGAGCGGGTGGAGCGGCAGCCACGTCGAGCTTGTCCAATTCCAAGACGGCACCGTGTTCGTCGAATTTGAAGATTTTACCGAACCCGCCGTCGATGGTAGCGTCGAACAGCGAGATGGTGGTCCATTGGGCGTCTTGCTGCTTCAAGGTCTTCTTCGCATCCTTTTCGTTGGCGGCTGTTGTCGGAGGTGGGTAACTGGTGGTGGAGGAAGGTGGGGCGGGGACGACCGCCCGAATTGAGATGGCACACCGAGCTGCGTCGCAGTCAAAGTCGAATTCCAAGCCGTGCGCGGCGGTCGCGGCCGGGGGTTGCGGTGGAGCTTCTTCCGACGATGAAGCGTTTGGCTGGATCGTGAGCGGGGTCAACTTGATGCTGGGTCGTTTGAGGTTGACGAGAGCTTGGAGCGTGGTTGTCGCGACCGGCTTGTCGCCCGCGGACTAACACACACGCAAAGTGTGAAAGAAAAGGGGCCCACCGTCAGCGAATCGCACCGCCTTTGATGACGGCGAGCATAACCCACCTCTTCTTTGTTTCGTTTGATCCACTCTTGCACGATGTCCATGGTCAGCTCCTCTTCTTCTTCCTCGCCATGCTCCTTCAGCTCAGCCTTGCCAGCCAAGAGGGTCCAGTCGGGAGCGGGAGTTCCACCAACACCCACGGGAGGCCCAAAGAGTGTTTCGACCTTGGACTTGCTGTTAGGATTGTTCGGATCCCCCTCGGCAGTCTGCGTCGGTTGAGACAAGTTCGCCATGTTGATGGTCACTGGCGGGGGGCCGGGAGCAGCAGGCTGTGTGGCCGCTGCAGCATTGGCGTTGCGGAGACGCTGTTGAGCGAGAAATGGCGGCATTGCGAGACGACGCGTTCGATTCCAGGTGCCGTACTGAGCTTGGTCTGTCGTAGGAGGAGAGGGAGATTGCAGGAGGGTGTCGTATTTAAGACCGGATCGGGGAAACAGGAAGCAGGTGAAGGGAGACGGCCAAGTTAGTCAGGGATGAAATGCGAGAGACGAGACGCTCGGCAGATTAGATGCCGGGATTAGCACAACTCCCTCGCCACAACACTTACACCAATTGCTCGCACTCATTCCTACTCTTGTGCTGTTACTCAGCGGACGCTGTGCAGTGAGTACGAGGTAGAGGTGGAGAGATAAACGACGAGCGGTGCGACGAGTGGAGGTAACCGGACACTATCACGGGAGACATGATCGGAAATAGCCATTCACCTGCGTCGTTCCATATTTCGTCCATCGAGGCTGCGGGTACGGCATCACCAATGCCTATCAAGTCAGCGACTGCGACAACTTAAGCTTAAACCAGCTCAATGCCCTCAATCACGGGCAACTAGTAGGACCAACGCTGTCCTCCTGGTTCTCGGTCTTTAGGTCGGTCTCCGAAGGCCTACGTGTTCCCACCGCGCCACAGCAATGACAAATACACACTCGCCATATCTCACGGCATTCATCGTATTGGCTGAATATCTCCCAAAACACTTCATGGATAATTCCACTTGCATCCCACTCTCGGAGAAACAGCCCCCTTACAATCAGGCCAGTAGGCTTCGTGAGTCACGTGCAGTCAGAGAGATATTGGGCTCCCCTAAGAACATCGTCCCACTCCTCGGTACAACGGAGAGTTGTTCCCGTCAGGAACCATGACGGTCACAACTATCGTGTCCTCCCATTGACCGTCATGCTAATATTGAGCCTCCTTGGACCCACCAGAAGCAAGCAGGCCTACGTGAACTGTTGCATACAATACTTGATACAATGTTGAAATGGAAGGTCTAAGAGAGTATGCTACATTTGTAGGGTTTGAAAGCTAGAACTATACTACACGATTATACGCTGGTGCCTTCGTTGCTCTTCGCTGCTTGCTCAGCTGCCAGTACCATTGCCGACCACTTGCGATAAAGCGTCATTGCGCGTTCCTTGATGTGATACTCATCTTCCCGAGGGATTTCCGGAAACTTGGCAATACGGCTTATGACTTTGCCGATCTTAGAGTACTATGGGCAGAGCAAAATCCCAAATCAAAATCTCACCCGTTAGCATCCCTCGCCGAGCGCCCGCTTCCTAAACAAAGACTGACCACCAGGTACTCGATTTTCATGTTGGGATAATTTTCCACATCAGAGAGGATCTGACCCGCCTGAGGCATGTCCTATTTGAAATAGAAAATGGCCAAAGCGTTATCAGCAAGGCTTGCCCCGCACCAGAACTGCTCGACAAACGCCAACAAATGAAAAAAATGAACAAAGGAGTGTTCTTTGTAAATAGATTGATGGCGCCGGAAAGGGTGCAGGGGCGCGTTAATGAGCCAGGAGACGGTCCGACATACCTCTGCCTGTGGTTTTCCGTCTGTCAAAAACATCTTTTGGAGCCTATGTCTCCACCTTCTGACTATTTGAGCGTCTGGATCATTGGAAAATGCTGCAAAGATGATTGAGGAAGTGGTGAGCGTCAGCGATGTATCAAATCTCAAATCGATCGCAATGCGGGAGCAAGAATTGTGAACTGAACCGGACGTCAAGCCGAGACAACTATGTAGCTCTTAAAGAATCGTAGGGTGGAGGGATAAGAGAGACAGGCGACGTACGATCGTCTGCATCGTCTTTACCCTCACTCTCCTTGCCTGGCCCCACGTCGCCATCCTCGGGTTTGCCGCGGCTCGCCCTTGCCTTGTCCCCCCTAGCCTCTCCCTCAGTGGCTTTTCTTCTGGTCATAGCTCCAGCTCTGTCTTTGCTTTCCGCGTTGTCAGCGGACGAGGCGGTGGCCTTTCCGGCCTTCTTAGAACCAGCGACGCCCTGAACCTTCTTGCGCTTCTTCTTACCATCCTCAGCAGAGATACTGTCGTTTTTTCGTTTTTTGCCTGCTTGAAATCTCTCCCTCTTGGCTGAAGCTGAGTCGGTGTCGCTGTCGACCACGTCCTCTCCACCACCTTGTCTAGCCTCGAGCTGATCCATACCCTCTTCTTCTTCTTCAGTAGCCGCCTCCACGTCTGATTGGGAATGTATGATTATAATATCAACACCCAACTTCTTGTATGACTCGGAAATCTCTCGACGTCTGGAGGAGGAAACGAGGTCTGAACTCAGTGGCCCCTTCTGTGGGGGGGGGGGGGTGTTCAGCAGTTTGTTCGATTCCAGTGGACAAACTACTTAAACATACCTCGATAGTTAAAGCGAGGCTTCCAGTGCCATTATAATCCCCGAGCTCGTCCAAGTTTGAGAAGGCATCCGAAGTTTCGACATCGCTTTGGAAGAAGAGGCGATTTATGATGTCAGAGGAGGACGGTCTTTCCGCTGAGTCGGAGACC